CAATCCACTGTTCTATAACATACATAATTCTTTGCAAGTGAGGCACGATCAAGTGGTGCACAGTTACATCTCTTTGGTCTCTCAAATTGCAGTTTCCATCAAGCAAGTGAGATGCTATGTCCATAAAGAAATTTAGCCAAAAAAAAAAATTACTCCTAGACATACTGTAGGTTGCTTCAGTTAATCACAGACAAAGTGACATAATTATTTATGAGACAATGGAGGACAGGAAAGCCTTGCTGCGTTTATTGTTTATGTGATGCTGCAGTCCATATTAAATGGATACTATTTTCACCTTTAAGAAGACCGATGAGTACATTCATCAGTTTACTTATATATACACACCTTTGTCTTTATTCATTCTACATTATATTTTTCCAGAAAATGACAGACCAACAAATTATTTTTAATATAGTATTGCCTGTTCAGATAGGTTGCAGATTAGCAGAGTATTATCATTAAGATGCTATCACAACCCATTTGCCCAGGAAACGGGAGCCATGGTTCTCATTGATGCCTGAGCTATGGTAAATCTAGTTTGATGTGTAGGAGCACAGATCGACATGTTTTCTAAATATGAGAGGTAGGCACCATGGTGAGATCATATAATAAATCAGTTATTTTTTTTCATGGATATTTTTTCAGTTTGATAATCATGTTTGTTAAGTTTTTCCACATTGTTTTGAATTTCTAATATCAGAATCCAATCCCTGTAGGTGGGTGTGCACTGCACCCATCACTGTCCCCTCTGTTTCTCTGCATGACATACAATCAGATTGATGCCGTCACCCATGAGAGGATGATCGAACGCTCTCAAGTTTCATTTAGACGTCCTCAATATATTTGCCATATAAATCAAGCCTATGTTTACCCTGTCATTTCGCCACAGGAAGGAGTCTTCCTGAATGTCTACCAATTCACTTTTAAGATGTTCCAGATGTCTTCCTGGCCTATGCAAACATTGTTTTACACAGAAGCAGATTTTAGAGTTCCACAGTTAATTGTAATGTGCTGTAAGCACACAATAATCATCTCAAGTCTCAATTTTGGTGCTCGATTTAGGGCTTAATGGGCCTGGAGCTGAATATGTTAATAGGCGTAAAGAGAGAAGTAAAATTTATATTTCCATTGTCACAGTAGCTGTTATGGACTACATGTGTGACATATGGCAAGCCTACTACTGGTTCAGGTAACCTCATAATTCTCCCTCCTGTGTGATTACAAATGTTACTGATCCGACTTTAAGGCAGTATGCACAAAAATTAACTTGGTCACAGATTGTCGTACATACCGCGGACACAGGGGTTGCAGCTGCGACCAGGCCCACCACTCCAGGGGGCCCAGCCGCCCTGCGGACCCCTGTCACCGGGTATTCACTGCCATCATCTTCTGCGGCCTCGGCCCACGCGGCAAACCGCCGGGGCTGCCGTCCAAGGGGTCCATCGGGTGGCCCATGCTGTCAGGGCCACCCGATGGATGTGGATTGTCAGGGGGCCCGGTAAGCACTGGGCGCTTTAACAGTGCGACTGGGCCCCCTGTGATGACATCACAACAAGCTGGGAGGAAGTGAACGCATGTCACTCCTCCTAGCTAACACTGAGAGCCGTGCGGGAGGAAGCAGAGGGAGTCAGAGTGGGAACTCTGACTCCCATCCACCTGAGCCACCACTGGACCCCAGGGAAAGTCACCCTCCTGCACTTAAAAGTTAGGAAACAGGAGGGTGACTTAAACATTTTGTGTGTTTGTATGTATGTGTGTCTGTATGTATGTGTGTCTGTCTGTATGTATGTGTGTGCCTGTCTGTATTTATGTGTGTGTGCTTGTCTGTTTGTATGTATGTATGTGCGTCTTGTGTGTGTGTCTGTCTGTTTGTATGTGTCTGCCTGTCTGTATGTGTGCCTGTCTGTTTTTTTCTGTATGTGTCTTTGTATGTATGCGTGTCTTGTGTGTGTGTCTGTATGTGTGCCTGTCTGTCTGTATGTGTGTGTGTCTGTATGTGTGCCTGTCTGTCTGTATGTGTGCCTGTCTGTTTGTATGTATGTGTCTGTGTGTGTCTCTCTATGTATGTATGTGTGTGTGTGTGTCTGTCGGGGGGAGGGGGGGGAGAATAAGGAGGGAGGGTCCCAAGGATCATTTTCACACTGGGGCCACATGGTTTGTGGGTTCGCCACTGGACTACAGCCTGAGTACTTAGGAGCAGATGGAAAGGTATTAAAATATAGAAAAGACAGTTGTGATACATGAGGACTGGGTGCTTTAAACCCAGCCAATTTTGACATGTTTGGTTGCTCTAAAGAAAGCTAAAGTAAGCTCTAAAGAAAGGGGAAGGGGCTCTGCACAACTAAAGCCTATACACATTTTTATTTATTTTTAGTTTGATACACAAATAGGCAATGGCTTGAGTATGTTACTTTACTTTATTGCCATATTTCTGTAGCTAACTTCCATCTACCCCACCGGAAATAAAAAAATGTGTGTTTCTAAACTTGTGCAAATCACTTTTGTACAACTAGTGGGGTGCTGCCTAACCAGTTCATAAGTTCATTTTTTTAAACCAAAAATGGAATCCAAAATCATTTATACAGACATCAAACTTTGATCCTCATCATGTTAGAACTCACAGTTGGCCACCTTACCCACCTTACAAAGCATCTTTGTGTTATGTTTAGAGATGAGCGAACCCGAACTGTAACCCGAACCCGAACACGGACATTTCAGTAACAGTTCGGGTTCGAGTTCGGTGATTTAATGGCGCGTTTGAAAAGCTGCAGGGCAGCCAATCAACAAGCGTTTGACTTGTGTGCCCTTAGAAGCCATCACAGCCATGCCTACTAATGGCATGGCTGTGATTGGCCAGTGCAGCATGTGACCCAGCCTCTATATAAGCTGGAGTCACACGAGCTCTTATTAGTGTAGGGAGAGGATACTGCAGCTGTGAGGGACAGATTACGAAAGAATTCTGGTGTTGAATCTGCAAACTACAGCGATTATTTTTGTGGGTGCTATACTACATTTTTGTACCCTGCCCTGAGCCCAGTGCCACAGAGAAATAAGCAATCAGTCTGTTTATTAGGTGGGCACTTGCAACTGCATGTGTGCCAGGCACATTACTTTAATCCTGTTCTGGTAGCTCAATGGGCAGCATCTAGGCATTTTTAAATACTGCTGTGACATTGCAGTTTGACAAATTCAATTTTGTTTGGTGCTAAAAAGTAAATTTCTCATATCTTAGAGTCAAATAGAACCGTCAAATACTGTGGTTACATCGCACTTTTAAAAATTCTAATTTTTTTGGTGCTAAAAAGTAAATTTGGGGCGTGCACTTCATATCTGAGAGTCAAATAGAACCGTCAAATACTGTGGTTACATCGCAGTTTTAAAAAGTAAAACATTTTTGGTGCTAAATAGTACATGTGCTGCCTGCGGTGCACTTCATATCTGAGAGTCAAATAGAACCATCAAATACTGTGGTTACATCGCACTTTTAAAAATTCTAATTTTTTTTGGTGCTAAATAGTACATTTGCTGCCTGCAGTGCACTTCATATCTGAGAGTCAAATAGAACCATCAAATACTGTGGTTACATCGCACTTTGAAAAATTCACATTTTTTGAGTGCTAAAAAGTAAATTTGGGGCGTGCACTTCATATCTGAGAGTCAAATAGAACCGTCAAATACTGTGGTTACATCGCACTTTTAAAAATTCTAATTTTGTTGGTGCTAAATAGTACATTTGCTGCCTGCGGTGCACTTCATATCTAAGAGTCAAATAGAACAGTCAAATACTGTGGTTACATCGCACTTTTAAAAATTCACATTTTTTTTGGTGCTAAAAAGTAAATTTTGCGCGTGCACTTCATATCTGAGAGTCGAATAGAACCGTCAAATACTTTTGTTACATTGCACTTTGAAAAATTCTAATTTATTTTGGTGCTAAAAAGTAAATTTACCGCGTGCACTTCATATCTGAGAGTCAAATAGAACCGTCAAATACTTTTGTTACATTGCACTTTGAAAAATTCTAATTTATTTTGGTGCTAAATAGTACATTTGCTGCCTGCGGTGCATTTCTTGCAGTCCAATAAAACCCTTAAATACTACTCTTACATTGTTGGTTTAAAAAAAATCACACTTTTTTGAGACAGTAAAGTAACTGTATTAATTACGCCTGTCACACTATTGTGTGACCTCTAGAAAATTTTTCTCTTTAGGACACCGGCACTGCCTTACTGTCGCCTGACATAAACCATCCGTTACTTTGGGCCTGAGGTGGATAGCAGTTTGGCGCATGTCCTTCCGCCACCAAGGATTGCAGGGTATTTCTTTTTGCCTCCTCCTCCTACTCCGTTTCCTCCTCCTCTACCACCTCCTCATCCGGTCAGCGTAACACCTTCACCACCAACTTCAGCATAGCCAGGGGGAAACAACAACAGGCTGTTTTAAAACTCATATGTTTGGGGGGAAAGCCCCACACCGCGCAGGTGCTGTGGACGGGCATGGAACAACAGACCGATGAGTGGTTGTTGCCACTGACCCTCAAGCCCAGTCTGGTGTGTGATAATAGGCAAAATCTCGTAGCAGCTCTGGGCCTAGCCGGTTTGAAGCACATCCCTTGCCTGGCGCATGTGCTGAATTTGGTGGGGCAGAAATTCCTGAAAAACTACCCAGATATATCAGAGCTCCTGCAGAAAGTGCGGGCCGTCTGTGTGGGCTTTCATGCATTCTCACCTTGCTGCTGCTCGCCTGTCTGCGCTGCAGCGTAACTTCGCCCTTCCCGCTCACCGCCTCATATGCGGCGTGCCCACAAGGTGGAACTCCACCTTGCACATGCTGGAGAGACTGTGCGAGCAGCAGCAGGCGATAGTGGAATTTCAGCTGCAGCACGCACAGGTCAGTCGCTCTGCACCAGACTTGCCCTCAAATAGATCTTCGTTAAAGGATTTAAAGTGTACTCATTCCAATTATAGGGCCTTGAAAGAGTCCTGTATTGTTATTTATCGTCACTAGCTCTCTGCGTTGGGAGTGGGTAATTTGCGTGCCTGCTGCCTTCCTTGGATGTGGTAGCCGTTTCTTAGGCTCCCTCTGCGGAATCGAACCTTGATTCCCCGTTACCCGTGGTCACCATGGTAGGCATGGGCGTCCGCAGGAATTTTTCCAGGAGGGGGCATAATTGTAATGACATCCATGCTTGGTACCTTTTTGACAGTGTCATGAAAGGGAAGGGGCATAGCCATTATCACATAAAGCCAGGGTGAATAGCGTTTTCACAGTTATGGTGTCAGGAATATATGTTTGTATTACTGACACTATAGTGTTCCTTTAAGCAAATTAAAGGACATTTCTGGTCACCATAACAACTTCACCTAAATGAAAATGCTATGATGCCAGGAAGCCCCTGGGTGCTCGTTTTCCTTTAAGGGGTTAAATCGCTCTCAAATGGTTTAACCCCAAAGGCTTCCTCCAGCTCCAGGTCACTCAGTGGTATTTGGCTTCTGAAACAGAGTGTCAGGAAGTGCAGATTGACGTCAGGCATGGGTGCCGCTGATTGGCTAGAGTGGTCAGTTGACGCTCTAAGCCAATCGCTAGTTCCCGGTTCATAAAATATTTTTACTTTTTTATGAATGGGGAGCTACTGATTGGCTTAGAGTGCCAGCTGACTGCTCTAGCCAATCAGCAACACCCCTACCCAACGGCACTCTGTGCTTCCTGACACTCAGTAAATAAAAGTGAACACATTAATACTGATATTTTTTTACCTTTGGAGATGAGAAGGTCCAGCGTTTCCCTGCCAGGCCCAGGTACCAAAGCCTTATGATGTGGTGTCCAGAATAAAGTGGAGGGTTCACTTCATTTGTCCTTCCTGCTCCAATCTCCTTTTCCTCTCCTTCATTTGACAGTCTTTTTTTTTTCTTCTGACACTGTTTTCTATCCTTGGCCCCTTCTGCTCTTTTACCTTTCTGCTACTTTCTGCTTATTTTGCGCCCTTCTGCTCCTTTCTCATTCTGATCCCTTTCTGCTCCTTGCAGACCCTTTCTGCTTCCTTTTCTACTTTACCTTTGTGCTCCTTGCTGTCCCTTTCTGCTCTTTCTCCTACTTTACCTTTGTGCTCCTTCTGATTCTTTCTGCTCCTTTACCTTTGTGCTCCTTGCTGTCCCTTTGTGCTCCTTCCTGCTCCTTGCAGGCCCTTCCTGCTCATTCTCCTACTTTATGTTTGTGCTCCTTCTGCCCCTTCCAGCTCATTTCTGACCCTTTCTGCTCCTTCTACTTTACCTTTGTGCTGCTTTACCTTCCAGCTCCTTGCTGACCCTTCCTGTTCATTTCTATATATCTATAGGCTGCTGCCCCCCCAAATCTATGGGCTGCTGCCCCCCTCCCCAAATCTATGGGCTGCTGCCCCCAAATCTAAAGGCTGCTGCCCTCCCAAATCTATGGGCTGCTGCCCCCCTCCCCAAATCTATGGGCTGCTGCCCCCAAATCTAAAGGCTGCTGCCCCCCCCACCCATGGGCTGCTGCCCCCCTCTCAAATCTATGGCTGCTGCCCCCTCCCCCAAACGCGGGCTGCTGCCCCAAATCTAAAGGCTGCTGCCCCCCAAATCTAGAGGCTGCTGCCCCCTCCCAAATCTATAGGCTGCTGCCCCCTCCCCAAATCTATAGGCTGCTGCCCCTCCCCAAATTCCATGGGCTGCGTTCTCAAATCTATGTGGCTGCTGCCCCCTCCCCAAATCTATGGGCTACTGCCCTCCCCCACCCATGGGCTGCTGCCCCAAATCTATGTGGGCTGCTGCCCCAAATCTAAAGGCTGCTGCCCCCCACCAAAAATCTATAGGCTGCTGCCCCTCTCCCCAAATCTGCGGCTGCTGCCCTCAAATCTATGGGCTGCTGCCCCTCATCCCCAAATCTATGGGCCTTCCCCCAAATCTAAAAGGCCGCTGCCCCTCCCCCAAATCTATGGGCTGCTGGCCCCCCCCCCCAAATCTATAGGCTGCTGCCCCCCTCTCAATTCCTCCACCCCATCCCTCACTTACCTGATCTGTAGGCTGTCTCTGCCTGCATGTGTTGTTCCCCTGCGGTTTCAATCAGCAGAGAGAAGCAGGGATAAAATGCAGCTTCCTATCCCTGTCTCTCTCCATACACAGCGCCACCTACTGGCCGGCGCCGGTATTGCAGTTCATTTTAAATCTCACACAAAATAGCAGAACAAGCTGAAAAATCCAGGGGGGGGCAAGTGCCCCTTCTTGCCCCCCCCTGCGGACACCCATGATGGTAGGCGCAGAAAGTTGAAAGTTCATTGAAAGTTCATGGGGCAGACATCCGAATGCGTCGTTGCCGTCACGGGGACGTGCGATCGGCCCGAGGTTATCTAGAGTCACCAAAGTGCCTGCGCAACGACTGCCGAGTTGCCCACAATCTAACTTGTGCTGATTACTGGGTGGCCAGCCTGCTGGATCCCCGTTACAAGGACAATGCGCCGTCCTTAATACCTTGGAGGTGCTGGCCTGCCCTACAGACAGTGTATTGTCTGAACGTGTGCTTAGCATGGCAGGGGGCGTTATCACAGACAAGCGCAGCAGCCTGTCCACAGCCAACGTGGACTGTACCTTGTGCAGAATAGACATTTATACCGGCCTCACCCAGACATTGTTATACTCAAGTGCACTTATTCTTTGTTTTCTTTTTTTTATATGTCCCAATATTTTGGGGGCTACCCCAATTGTTTGCAGGGCACTTGTCCTACTCTTACCCCCATTTTACTTCCTTTTGCAGCCCTCTAGCCCTTTCCAGGACTTTTTTTTAGTGCCCAAAAGTTCGGGTCCCTATTGACTTCAATGGGGGTTGGGTTCGGGGTCAAGTTCGGGTCAAGTTCGAGGCTGAACTCAAACTTTTTGCCGATGTTCGAACATCCAGGTGTCCGCTCAACTCTAGTTATGTTTAAAGGAAAACAAAGAGCAGAGAGTAAATGATATTGTTCATGAAGTAGCCATTTTAACATTGTGCTCAGCAGCGTTCTCAATTGTTAACATCTGTCGGCACATCCATTTATAGATAAACTTAGTCGATACTTGATACATTTGAGTTTTTTTAAACACAGCAGTCTTCTCATTGCATATTAGCACTGTTTTTCACCTTTGAATTGTTTGCCTCACTAAATTTATATTCACAATTTAATGTACTTTGTGATGGTTTTCTAAACAAAAGTGTTCTTGGGTATGGAGAACTATTATGTAGCTGACAAATTAAAAGAGATAGATGGTGCCAACCTGCCCTCCAGGGATCACACTAATCTCAGGATTCTCTAAGTAGTTCCCTAAGTAATTTGACACTACTAGGAGGCCCTTGGGTTCAATAACATCTTCTTGGCCATTGACCAAAGTAAGGAATATTTCTTCTTACCACTTGAACAGGTAAACGAAGAGTGGCCACCAATACTATAAACGAAAGAAAGAAAATCTCCAGGCACTCAAGGTGTTCAAGCCACAGGCAGATTTAATGGTTCAAAAAAGAGCAGCAACGTTTTGACCTGGTAAGAGATCTTTGTCAAGCTAACACCACATAGTCAATTCAGTGTATATATATCTTATGTGCTAAACATTTACCAATAATAGATTTACATATACCAATCAACTAAACTACATTCACATAAGTGATTAAACAAATAATGAAGATAAAATAGCAATAAAAAATACATTAATACAATAATAGCACACTTGTGTGTGTCCAAGAGAAGAAAGGCAGCTCATACAAAGCTGCACTGATTTGTATGAGATGTAGACTTTGATGTTGCTGCCCTTCCTCAATTCTTCGTTCATTAAGTGCCAACTTATCACTGAACCACTCGAAGGGCCATCAAGCAGAGATCAAAATGGACCAAGGTGGGCAAACTGATAGTGGGAGATGTCTCCTAGTTCACAAAAGAAGGGGATTTTGTGATCTCCTTTTAAAACTCCATATTGTCACAGGTAAAGGACAATTCTGATTACTTCTAGGGAATAGTGTCATATTAAAACATTTTAAAACTAAATAATAAACAAGGGCATGAAACCTGACATCATCGAGATAGCGCATTTAAAGGAACACCTAGAACAGCATGAATACCCTCAAGTCATTTATACTTTGTAAATGTAAATTTTTAAAAAGGAACACCAGGGATCTGGACAAATGTTTCTGTTTTTTTTTTTTTTTTTTTAATTATAGCATTTCTTTTGTATGAGATCATGATAAATTATCATTCAATTTTCAAGTCACTATTGCTTGAAACAGGCCTAGATCAAGTCCCGGTATTCAGAAGCACATATATTTAAAATGAATACATTGAATTCTAATTTGATAGATTAGAGCTGATTTTTATGTCTCTAATTTTATGATAGTTTGCCTTTTACTTTCTGTTTTTTTGTAGTACTGTCCACAGATATCGCACACATTGCTTTATTAGTTGCCATGTATGTCATGTGCAGCAACACACCACCACCTAGTGGGCAAATTGTAATTAAGTATGAGAAAAAAAATCCTAAACGATGCTGAAATTTAAACACACATACACACTTTCTCTATCTCTAGCAGGGTTATTCAATAAAGTGAGAAATCAAGGTGAATTCAAAGTGAGTTTTAAATTTAAGGCCAAAGTAGCCGAACTGGGTGCATACATGATTTAGAGACTAGTTCCAGTTCGACTTTCCTTAACTTGAATTTTACATTTATTTTGAATTCGCTTTAAATTCTCACTGTATTAAATAACTTTCTCTTTCTCACTATTTGCAGACATTTTAGATTACATACTTTTAATTAGAAATGGTGGAATTAGAAGCAAAGACACATTTTTTAGACATTCCACCCAAGTTATTAGGGACTGATGACTACTAAGCATAGTTTTATTAGAAATGTAGTTCAGCACTCTCTGGAACAGAAATAGAAAAAAAAATGTAATCTGATTTCTTTCCTGTCAGAAGAAATGAAGACTCCATATATTAACACCTTTTCCTAATTTTAGTCATTCATTACTTCCTACTCCCTATTCTTTGCTTAATGCTCCCCATTTGTATCCTCTTTCTCTGTTATCCTTGTTTTTGAGAATTTGGATTACCAATATGCCAGTGAATGGAAAACATTTTTTCAGAAGGATACCCAGAAGGAGAGACAGTGGCAACCAGAACATATGAATGTGCCTAAATATACACAATTGTAAACAATATTATTCAATCCCCATTGGAAAACATGTTTATTTTAAACATTTACAGACTTTCAGCTGTTTGCAATGAATAACTCAAATAAAAGCAATTGAAATAGCTCAACACAGCCAATGCATCAAGTGATTTCCTCAAATTCAACTGAAAATGAAACGTATAATGACTTCTCCAATCTCAAAATTATTCAACCCCTTCATTTTTAGTACTTAGCACAGAACCCTTCTACTGTTATGACCAGCTGCAAACAAGTTGCACAGCCAGACACTAGCTACAGCATGGATTTTCTCATACTTCAATTGTGCCTTCCACATGCTGCAGGTTTCCAGTGGCAGAATATGCAAAGCAGCTCCAGAGCATCATCAAGCTACCACCATGCTTAACTGTAGACAGTGTTCTTTTCAGCGTATGCTTTATTCTTTGTCTTCCAGACATACGGACAATCTGTTGGGACGAAAAGTTCCAATTTTGTTTCATCGCTCCACAGAACAGAGTCCAAAAACTTTGGTGGCTTATTTATATGATTTTGAGCATATTGAAGACGACTCTTCTTGTGCTTTTGGGTCAGTAGTGGTGTACGTCTTGGAGTCCTGGCATGACAACCTCTGTGTTTAGTAAGTGCCTTACTGTGCTCACTGAAACCTCAGTGCCTGTTGCCACCAAGTCTTGCTGCAGGTCTTTTGCAGTAACTCGAGGGTTTTTCACAACCTGACTTCTCAGAAATTTGGTTGCAGCCATTAATAGCTTCCCTTTTCTGCCCGCTCAGCCCCCAGATCTACATATCCATCAGTGGGGATTGTGCAGCTGCATGCTGCTAAACTCAGAGCTGGTGTTATAGCTCTCTCAAATGTGAGTTATATACCATATACATTATTGTTGTATGTCCTGCACCTTGTTCCATACGCACTGCACCATCACTGGTTAGTTTCTGCTTTTATTTCATATATTTCCACCATTGGAAGTCTGGATGGTTACCAGTTGAGAACAGACTCCAGCAATTGTGGACTAATTAGACTTTATATTGGCGCAACCTATATTTTGTGTATATTGTTCTGCCTTGGTACTGTAACTACTGTTCCTTCAACTGTCTACTTCTAGTAACATTTATTACAAACAGCGGAAAGTCTGTAACTTTTGACAATAAACATGACTTTCAATGGGGGTCTAATAATTTTAATTACCACTGTGTGTGTAAAAATGTAAAGCGTGTGTGTGAATATTTGTGTATATATGAATGTGTTTGGTGGGGTGACAACATAAATTTCCACTCTCCGTGCTGGGTAGCCTTGGCATGCTATTAGAGGTGGTAAAGAAGAGCTTAAAGGGACACTATATTCACTAGAAGAACTACAGCTTAATGTAGTTGTTCTGGTGACTACTGCCTGTCCCTGCAGGCATTTTTATGTAAACACTGCCCTTTCAGAGCTAGTTGAATTGGCTGAGATAGTCAATTCTGATGATCTCAGACAAGGAGGGGGGAGGGGAGAAACCAAGAAGCGCTGAAATAAATGTGAGTAAACTCACCTTTTACATTGTTTACAGAAGGGGCAGTTACCTAAACAACACTTTCACAGATATAGTGACAGGAATACATATTTGTATTCCTGTCACTTTAGTGTTCCTTTAACCCCTTAAGGACACATGACATGTGTGCAGGGCCGGACTGGCCCACCGGGATACCGGGAAATTTCCCGATGGGCCGTCGGCACCTGGGGCCGGGCAGGCAGCGGGCTCACCTGCGGCCGCAGAGGGAGCTCTTTTGGCGGCCGCAGGGGGAGCTGGCTGTTCTGTCTCTGCTCCCCTTCCCCAGCGCACTACAAAGAGACCGGGGCCGGAATATGATGTCATATTCCGGCCCCGGTCTCATTAAGCAGTGCGCTGGGGAGTGGGAGCAGAGACAGAACAGCCTTTTCGCCCTGCGGCAGCCAAAGGAGCTCCCCACAGGTAGAAATTGTGTGTGTCAGTGTGAGTGTATGTGTGTGTGTGTCTCTGTCTGTCATGGTGTGTGTGTGTCTCTGTCTGTGACATGGTGTGTGTGTCTGTCTGTGTCATGGTGTGTGTGTCTCTGTCTGTGTCATGGTGTGTGTGTGTGTGTCTGTCTGTGTCATGTGTGTGTGTGTGTGTGTGTGTCTCTGTCTGTGTCATGGTGTGTGTGTGTCTGTCTGTTTGTGTCATGGTGTGTGTGTGTGTGTGTGTGTCTGTCTGTGTCATGGTGTGTGTCTGTCTGTCATGGTGTGTGTGTCTGTTTGTCATGGTGTGTGCGCCTGTCTGTGGCATGCAATGTGTGTCTGTGTCATGGTGTGTGTGTGTCTGTCTGTGTCACGGTCTGTCTGTGTCATGGTGTGTGTGTTTGTCATGGTGTGTGTGTCTGTCTGTGTTAGGTAATGTGTGTCTGTCTGTGTCATGTAATGTGTGTGTGTCTGTGTCACGGTCTCTCTGTGTCGTGGTGTGTGTGTCTGTGTGTCATGGTGTGTGTGTCTGTCTGTGTCGTGTGTGTGTGTCTGTGTCACGGTCTGTCTGTGTTATGGTGTGTGTGTGTCAAGGTGTGTGTCTTTTTTAAGGTGTGTGTCTGTCATGGTGTGTGTCTGTCTGTGTCATGGTGTGTGTGTGTCTGTCTGTCTGTGTCATGGTGTCTGTCTGTCTGTCATGGTGTGTGTGTCTGTCTGTGTCATGTAATGTCTGTCTGTGTCATGGTGTGGGTGTCTGTCTGTGTCACGGTCTGTCTGTGTCATGGTGTGTGTGTTTGTCATGGTGTGTGTGTCTGTATGTCATGGTGTGTGTGTGTCTGTCTGTGTTAGGTAATGTGTATCTGTCTGTGTCATGTAATGTGTGTGTGTCTGTGTCACGGTCTCTCTGTGTCATTGTGTGTCTGTGTGTCATGGTGTGTGTGTCTGTCTGTGTCGTGTGTTTGCGTCTGTGTCACGGTCTGTCTGTGTTATGGTGTGTGTGTGTCAAGGTGTGTGTGTGTTTTTTAAGGTGTGTGTCTGTCATGGTGTGTGTGTCTCTGTCTCTGTTATGGTGTGTGTGTGTCTGTCTGTGTCATGGTGTGTGTGTGTCTGTCTGTGTCATGGTGTGTCTGTCTGTGTCATGTGTGTCTGTCTGTGTCATGGTGTGTGTCTGTCTGTGTCATGGTGTGTGTGTCTGTCTGTATCATGATGTGTGTCTGTCTGTGTCATGGTGTGTGTCTGTCTGTCATGGTGTGTGTGTCTGTCTGTCATGGTGTGTGCACCTGTCTGTGTCATGCAATGTGTGTCTGTGTCATGGTCTGTCTGTGTCATGGTGTGTGTATGATTGTCATGGTGTGTGTGTCTCTGTCTGTGTCATGGTGTGTGTGTGTGTGTGTGTGTCTGTCTGTGTCATGGTGTGTGTGTGTGTCTGTCTGTGTCATGGTGTGTGTGTCTGTCTGTGTCATGGTGTGTGTGTGTGTGTCTGTCTGTGTCATGGTGTGTGTCTGTCTGTCTGTCATGATGTGTGTGTCTGTTTGTCATGGTGTGTGCTCCTGTCTGTGTCATGCAATGTGTGTCTGTGTCATGGTGTGTGTGTGTGTCTGTCTGTGTCACGGTCTGTGTCATGGTGTGTGTGTGTTTGTCATGGTGTGTGTCTGTATGTCATGGTGTGTGTGTGTCTGTCTGTGTTAGGCAATGTGTGTCTGTCTGTGTCATGTAATGTGTGTGTGTCTGTCTCACGGTCTCTCTGTGTCATGGTGTGTGTGTCTGTGTGTCATGGTGTGTGTGTCTGTCTGTGTCGTGTGTGTGTGTCTGTGTCACAGTCTATCTGTGTTATGGTGTGTGTGTGTCAAGGTGTGTGTCTTTTTTAAGGTGTCTGTCATGGTGTGTGTGTCTCTGTCTGTGTCATGGTGTGTGTGTGTCTGTCTGTGTCATGGTGTGTGTCTGTCTGTCATGGTGTGTGTGTCTGTCTGTGTCATGTAATGTCTGTCTGCATCATGGTGTGTGTGTGTCATGGTGTGTGTGTGTGTTTGTCATGGTGTGTGTGTGTCTGTATGTCATGGTGTGTGTGTCTGTCTGTTTTAGGTAATGTGTATCTGTCTGTGTCATGTAATGTGTGTGTGTCTGTGTCACGGTCTCTCTGTGTCATTGTGTGTGTCTGTGTGTCATGGTGTGTGTCTGTCTGTGTTGTGTGTTTGTGTTTGTGTCACGGTCTGTCTGTATTATGGTGTGTGTGTGTCAAGGTGTGTGTGTTTTTTAAGATGTGTGTCTGTCATGGTGTGTGTGTCTCTGTCTGTGTCATGGTGTGTGTGTGTCTGTCTGTGTCATTGTGTGTCTCTGTCTGTGTCATGGTGTGTCTGTCTGTGTCATGGTGTGTGTCTGTCTGTGTCATGGTGTGTGTGTGCGTCTGTCTGTGTCATGATGTGTGTCTGTCTGTGTCATGGTGTGTGTCTGCCTGTCATGGTGTGTGTGTCTGTCTGTCATGGTGTGTGCGCCTGTCTGTGTCATGCAATGTGTGTCTGTGTCATGGTGTGTGTGTCTGTCTGTCATGGTGTGTGCGCCTGTCTGTGTCATGCAATGTCTGTCTGTGTCACGGTCTGTCTGTGTCATGGTTTGTGTGTTTGTCATGATGTGTGTGTGTCTGTATGTCATGGTGTGTGTCTGTCTGTGTCATGTAATGTGTGTCTGTCTGTGTCATGGTGTGTCTGTGTCACGGTTTCTCTGTGTTGTGGTGTGTGTGTGTCTGTGTGTCATGGTGTGTGTGTCTGTCTGTGTCGTGTGTCTGTGTCACGGTCTGTCTGTGTTATGGTGTTTGTGTGTGTCAAAATGTGTGTCTTTTTAAGGTGTGTGTCTGTCATGGTATGTGTGTGTGTGTGTGTCTGTCTGTGTCATGGTGTGTCTGTCAGTGTCATGGTGTGTCTGTCTGTCATGGTGTGTCTGTGTTTCTGTCTGTGTCACGGTGTGTGTGTGTTTCTGTCTGTGTCACGTGTGTGTGTTTCTGTCTGTGTCACGGTGTGTGTGTCTGTGTCACGGTCTGTCTGTGTCATGGTGTGTGTCTGTCATGGTATGTGTATGTATGTTTTTACTCACCTTTTTTTTCTCCCCCACATCGTGCTGGTCTCCCCTCGACTGGCCCTGCCTCTATGGCTGAGATCATCAAGCTTGATGATCTCAGCCAATCCGCACTGACACAGGAAGCACCTCTAGTGACCTTCTGAGTGTCTGTCACTAGGAAGCAATGTAAACACTGCCTTTTCTCTAAAAGGTAGGAAACAGGAGGGAGACTAAGACATTTTGCATGTGTGTGTGTATGTCTGTATGTATGTGTGTGTTTGTATGTATGTGTTTGTATATGTGCGTGTGTCTGTATGCATGTGTGTGTCTGCATCTATGTCTCTCTGTATGTGTGTGTATGTATGTGTATGTATGTGTATGTGTGTCTGTCTATATAGGTGTGTGTCTATATGTATGTGTGCCTGTATGTGTGTGTGTGTGTATGTGTATCTGTTTGTCTGCATGTGTATTTGTATGTCTGCATATCTGTATGTCAGTATCTGCCTATGTATCTGTATGTGCGTCACTGTTTGTATCTGTATGAGTGTCATACTGTCTGTTAATGTTTGTCATTAAGTGTCTGTTTATCTGCATGTGTGTCCGTGTATGTATCTGTATGTGTTATATGGTGTGTATCTGCATGTATGTCAGTGTGTGTTTGTCTGTTTATCTGCATGTGTGAGTGTGTAACTGTCACCTCACCACACACAATGTCACCCCCCTTCACCCTGCCACACTCACAATAACTCCCCAATCCTGTCACTCACCCATGCTCACCTCCCGTCACTCTGCCATATTCACCCTTTTACACTCACCTTCTCTAGCACTGTCACACTCATTCACCATCACTCTGTCACACTTGCTCCCTTTCACCCTTTCACATAAGGCCCTCCAATTCTGTCATACTCTTTCCCCTAACCATGCAACACTCCCACTGTGGGCATGAACAAAGCACATGGAGGGGTAGGGCTTGACATTCCCAGGGCAATTTTCACACCGGGCCCTGTGGTTTCTAGTTACGCCTCTGGCCTTAGTCATGTGTTCTCTAGAAAAGTCAAAGAGGGCTTCCTATTGATGCTCGATTAGGCTAGGTAATTTGGTGCCAACTGTCAGAGCCATTCACTAAACACCATATTTTGTCTGAATGGACAAAATTCCGTAAAAATGGCCAAAATCCAACTGGAATGGCAATTCTCATAATTACTAATGGCAATTGCGGTCAAGATTCGGACGCTCTGGCCAAATCTGTACAGGTTGGAATCATTTGGTGTTTGGTTTAAAAATCAGTCCTTTTCGCATCCACAACCTATACAAAGTATAGGATTCAGAATCATATATATATTTTTTTAATCAGGACCTTAATGCATCCATCAGGATGTATATTTGCAAATTAACATGCTTTTTGCAAGTGACAGATAATTTGAAGTACTATTTGCTGACTAGCAATGCTAGCAGACAGTAAGCAAATAGTTTAAAAACACTGGCTAGCGCGAGGATTAAAATGAAACTATAGTGCCAGCAAAACAAACTTGTCTTCCTGGCACTATAGCTTCCCTGTCTGTCAAGGACCCCCATGGTGCAGAAGTCCCACTAGTGGCTGTCTGGTAGGCAGCTACTAGAGGTGGAGTTAACCAAGAAAGCTAGTTATTTCAGTTTATTAAAACAGTTAAATACTGTGAACAATGTTTGAAGTCCGAATGACTCCAAACAGCATTGAATGGTTTTGCTCCATTTAGTATGGGGGCCTTTCAGACTTTATCGAGTAACCCTGTGTGTAATATCTCTGATATCTAGGCTAACTGCTGGCTATCTAATTTATACCTATTACTTTTTTTTTTTTTTTTTAATTCTTTATTTTTGGAGTGCATGAAAATATAGCAAGAGGGCTCTTCATGCCCCAACAGCATTGACAAGCATATAACCAGCCATATGTTAACAGTTGGTCAGCATGTGGAAAGATCAGCACAATTTTTATATAACAACATAAACAGATTTAGCGTTCCTGTCTAACCGATCAATGCATAACATGCTTGTTGGCAGGAACTTTTCTAGACATGCTGGGTGAAAGATTGCGGTCCAATAGAGAGTGGGTGCTTACTACGGAAAAGGTAGGTTATTTAGTGTGAGATGCCTCTCTACGTGTAATACCTATTGAGAAATAGTAAAATAATAGAAAATTAAACACGCTTACATCTAAGCAAGTTAGGTACACAAAATGCTATGATGCTTGGTAAGTTAAGTTAGTGTTTATACCTATTACTTTTAAGGGAGGATGGGGAGCTAGTGGTCTATGGAACCATCCAGATGATGGCTAGCTCTGACCTCACATAAAAGGGAAAATTGCTATGTATGATGATAATGTTTTAAGAAACATATGTGAACAATTGCACAAACTTTACCTTTAATTGGAAACAAGAACATTTGATATTCAGACTATTACAACATTTAAATTAGCATTTTCTGTAAACAAAAAAGGAGATTTTCAGCTAACAAAAAACCCCACGGTATGCAATTCAAACCGCTGTACAAAAACTGGATTTTCCAAATGTATGTTCAGCCCTATTATGCAATTCCAAAGGTACACACCTTTCAAAATTCATTGATTTTTTTATTGCTGTAAAGAAAGACATTCCTTCTAAAGTCATTCAAATATTTCTGCTTTCACAGGGAGATACTCACTAAACAATGATCTGCAGTGAACCAAACACCAGATTGTAAAACTAAGACACAGCCTGGCTGCTTTAGACTGCAATTCAGTTTTCTATCCATTTCAATGCAATGGCTAGTGCATAAACATTATTGTTCTCAATGCAGTCCAATGAGACCTGTCTCTATACTCATAGTAGCATTTAGCTTTGCTGGTGTTGCCAGCCCTGAATCCAGATTTCCAACCCTTCTGTTAAATTAAATAAAGTCAAAGTCATATCAATCCAAGGTCGCTGAGCACAATCACAGGGCTGAAACATGAGAATATGTATTTTGTGTACTGCACACCGTTCTTCACCCGGAGATTAAACATACTTCTGTCCAAGACAGAAATTAACATACAATGAGTATTTATACAATTAAGTAATGTTTTGTGTACATAATTTTCCCTTATCAATAGCCTGAATGCATAAGGCAGAAGGTAACTGCTATAAACTTTGATCTTTCTGTAACACATTAACTAACACAAAGCTTCAGTGTTATCCTCACAGTGGTACCAATGGCATCATCCGAGATAAAGTCTCAAAGTCCATTGAGCGCTACGTGCGACCATATCTAGCTCAGGAGAAGGTAAGTGTAGTTTCTAAATTATTAGTAAATTGTTATTTAATCTGTGTTATTATTACACTACAAAATAATCCATCTTTAATTTTGTATTAAATAAACTTAGTTCCATAGTGATCAATAAGTGCCAGCCAGGGGATAGCTGCCAACCTTTTGCCCAGAAGGCAAGTGGAACGGAATCGCTTTAATTGTTTCTGCATAAAACTCATGGATCTCTGTGTGGCTGGCCCTATGTACACTGCACATGTGGTAAAGAGGTTTAAAAGGTGGAGTCTGCTAGATTCACGAAGTGTGACATCTCAAGTGATTGAGTCTCTTTCACAGGACCTATTGACACCAATGTCTCATCTACCCTGCAGCCACTTGCAAGCACTGACAACTGTTTTTATTTAGCAGACGAATGAAGTGGTCTTGGTGCCCCCAGGTTTTAACACTTCAGAGAAACTGCTATGTTTACATTGCAGGGTTAATCCAGCCTCTAGTGGCTGTTTTCCTGACAGCCGCTAGAGGCACTTCTGCGATGCTGAATGCAAAAATCGCATTCAGCATGCAGAACGTCAATAGGAAAGCATGAGAAATGCTTTCCTATGGGCATTTTTAATGCGCGCGCAGCTCTGACCGTGCATGCGCATTCCGCTCCTCTCGGGATCTGTCGTCGGTGTGGGAGGAGAGGTCACCAGCACTGAGGGAACATGGCACTGGATTAAAGTAAGTATCTGAAGGGAGGGGGACCCTGAGGTTGGGGGGGACCTAGGGTTATATAGTGTCAGGAAAACGAGTTTGTTTTCCTGACACTATAGTGATCCCTGAGGTTGGGGGGGACCTAAGGGTTATATAGTGTCAGGAAAACGAGTTTGTTTTCCTGACACTATAGTGATCCTTTAACTGTTAGTGGAAGAGAAATTACCCTGATTTACAGGAAAACGAGTGTTTTCCTGACACTATAGTGATCCTTTAACTGTTAGTGGAAGAGAAATTACATTTACATGGAGGGCATACATAATGGGTTCTCAGTCAGTAGTGCAGTGAAAACCCATGTGTGTGAATTAAATTTGCTTTATTACAGACTTTAACCATGTTCCCACCTGACTAAATACTTGCTTACTGATTTTTTTGTTTAGTACCAGGCTTACTATAACTAATTTATTTTTACTTCTGTACATATTTTACTTGTCTCATATATATAGGAAATTATAATTTGTATGTATATTTTATTTTTTATGTATTTTATTCAACAATGATTCATAGGTTAGTGTATATATATATATATATATATATATATATATATATGTCATTGTTATGTATAACTGTTATTCTATATTGCATAAAACATTAATAAATATATTAGGGGAAAAAAACGTGCTTTATTACCATGGGAAGAACTGTTCAATAGACTGAATTTGTTTTTCTATCATTTACAATAATTAACTGTTCTTTTCTTGACAAAAATCAGTTGGCTGGTTACAGCAGTGGTAACATCACTGCCTCAGAACTTCTAAGCTAATTTGAGCACGGCATTTTTCGATTCAAAACCGAATCTGTGTGATGGTAGAATGCTACACTTATTTAAAGTTGACAGCTAATTTATTAAATCTTTGTGTCCAATTAAATTACTGTGAATGCAAGCACAATACTAAGCATGGAACCTGCAATTGTGATATAGACTTCACAATGTAATATTTATCATTATCCCTGTCAGATGTAATGACACACACTAACATGCAGACGGCAGTTTAAGGCAGATCAAAATCACATGAAAATAACCAGAAGTCAGTTCCATTTGTGTGAAAACCTTCTTTCACAAATCTCAGAAAATAAAATGATTTAAAAAGCATCATTATACTTAATTTATAAACCGCCAACACATTGTGCAGTGCTGTACATAGGTACAATTGGCACAAGCAAAAAAACAGAGGTACAATACATCTCAGACAAACTAAATTTGAAAAATATACAGGAGGAGTTGAAGGCATTATTACTGTGAAAACTTACAATCTAGATGGATGAAAAATGAAATAAAAATTGGGTACTAGCTAGCCCTAACGTTAAAAAAGGGGGATCCCCAGGACCTCTACTAAACAGAGAATGTCCAATATCCTCCCATTTTGTATGATGGAGTGAGGAACTACACATCCATGTAATTATACCATTAGATGGTAAATTAGTCCTCTCATTCCTACGATTTCCATTCTCGCAGTGAAACCCCCCCTCCCTAATTTCTATTTTACTTTGTGACCTTGGGGACTGTCCCTTGTTTCTCATTTCCTTCATCATACATGGTTTCTTTTCTACAGCACCCATCAATTAATCTGCTAGATTATTGTGTTGTCTATTGATTATTCCAGTCTTAGCTTGCACGACGTTATAAGAGCATTATATGGCTCTGAAAGAGTGTAAATCAATATATTGATATAAGTCCATAGCCAGCTAAAAAGGAAAATTAACTAAAATGAATACTGGAAACTGACAAATTGCTTTCTTGTGGGGGGCGGGGCCTGACCTTCAAGGGAGCCAGACGTGCAAACTAGAGCTCCTGTATTAAACTACGACAAAAGGGGATTAAACCCAATTACACGACCACCATGACTCAACTTAAGTGTTCCCGAGAGCAGGGGACCCCCGGGCATGTCGTGGCCTGCTGGTAGCAGAACAGGGGGGAAAGTGGCCAGTCTCCTTGCGCTTGGCTTCCGGACCGAGTCCAGCCCCCCACCCCCCCCCCCCCCACAGGACATCCCGGTCCCCTCGGATCTGACCAAGCACGCTTACAGACACCCACCAAGCGAGAACACTGCGCTGACTGCGATCTCAAAATGATGGACTTCCAACACTGCGACACGCATGATGTGAGAGCCTACCAGGGTGAATCCCGCGACTATGTTACCGAGGCCCTTATACAGCTCGACTAGACATTTGCCAAATTCTGGCTCAAGTTCCAGTGGCTCATAGCGACTGGGCTCAGGAAAGAAACAAGACATGGCGGACGACCGGAGGCGCAGGGGCCTACTCAGGGCGCATCAAAAGAGACACCAAGTAAGCAACCAAATGGCTTCCCTTCCAGGCCGAGAGCCACAAGGGGCTCGAAGCCCTGCATCGCCCACAAAGACGGAAGATGGAACGAAAGCACCTACACCATCCGTCCACAATGCAACAGGGATAGACTCAGACACTGGAATATCTTTATTCCATCTCCTCTCCATTTCTGTGGTATCCATAAGAGAGAAGTGCTATCTGGTTATTGACATCCATGCCTACAATACTTAGAGCCAGTTTAAAAGGCTCTAAATAAGGTGAGCAATTTGAGCTTATACATTCTATCTGACTGCTTTATCATTTTGATCATACCATCTGCACCAAAGAATTCTTTTTTTTTTTTTTTCTATGTTTCATTTGGAGATATAATTTATCAACAAAAGAAAAGAAGAACGCTCCTGTTTTTAAGGTTCTATTGCCTACCTTTACAGCAGCCGGAAGATTTTTTACATTGCATGAGTATATGGAACTTTCTTTGCGGTTTCCTGAGGCTGGTGAGCGGACTAACTACCTCCACAACAAGTTTTGCTGTTTTTAAATTGCTATTAATAAAGTATACTTACCTGAGATCTGGATTGCAAGCTTCTTTTCCACGGATCCCACGCACTCTAGGGGCTGATCCTCCCTGATTGCTATAGCAACGAGTGGGGCTTTTACCACTCCAATCTTGTGAGTGTAATACCTTAAGGGCACCTTAGTTTGCTTTATTTTATATATCTATAAGTGAATTACTACGCTGCACTAGGAGCTCTCTTTCTGTTTTTGTCTCCTTAATCAGAGTGATTTCCATGTTTGCAAGTATACCTACAGATTGTGCTTTGTTTTACCACAACCACTTTTTGTGGTTCAATTACTTATAATATTTCCACTCTATATACACCACTTTTAATGTACACCGGGTGACTTTCACTCTCTATAAGATGTCCATTGTAAATACCATTTTTGTTGTTGCGCACCATCACTACTGTAAAGTTTATCAAAATAAGTCACTCATCATTTAAAAAATATTCAGACCTCCTAGTGTCCATGTTCAAAGTGCCATATGAAGTGTCATAATCCATGTGAACAATCATGTTACTAAACTTTATGTTATTTAATGATCTTAATCATCTCAGCCAATAAAATGCTTTCCCATCTGTTAGACATAGACACCCACAAGAGACAGGTTAACTCTCCTGCAGAATGGCAATGTTTCCAGATGCAATGTTAACACGTGGGGCGCATGGCACTCAGACCATTTCATTAAGATGAAGTGGTCTGGGTGTCTATAGTGTTACTTTAAGCACATAAGAGGTCGGGCCATCTTGGGTAACATACATGTCCTTCCATCAGATGATGATCGGATAAGTAAATGTGTGATGTGTTATAAAGATCTGTTGGCCGGAAAATTTTAATTATTGCTATATGTGCAATCCGTTTGATGTCCATAATAACATACAGTTACAAATCTTCAGGCCATATGAATTAATTTATTATTACTCAACTTTCTAAAGCAAGATCTTGGCGTCTAGCCTAATAATTTTTGTTTAAACATTGCTGTTTGAAAAATTAGACCTAGAACACAGTATAAATCTTTAGAGCGCCTATAATAATGGTTGTATGGCTTTTTACCATTTTTATTTTTAACATGCAGGTTACACAAAATGACTGACAACAATGAGATCAGTATAAATTGTCTTCTCTTGGGGAAGACTAAAAGTGGGAAGAGTTCAATTGGAAACAGCCTGCTGGGAAGTTATGAATTCAAAAGTAAGTTTTCCCCATACTCTCTAACCAAAGAATGCCAGCTTTGCCGAACCTACATACCTCAGTTTGCTCGGCGTATGGGTAAAGAACTGTGCCTGAGACTACAGGTGTTGGACACACCAGGATCTTCTCATAGCAGCTTGGAACATGAAGAGGTGAAGCACAGAATAAAGAAAGCCCTTTCCCAGCAATTTCCAGGAGGGTTACATATGGCCTTACTTGTCCTCAGGGCTGACATACCTTTCTGTGAAGAAGATAACCAGTACACTGTCAAATTAGCAGAGGTAATTCATGTAATAAGATGAGTAATTTGTATTGGTAATGTTCTCTCTGTGCTTTTTTATGTCTTTACCAATTTCCTTTTACAATCTGATGGATGGAGATAAATTAGGACACATTGTAAAAAGGCAAGCAAAAGCTTTCCAGCACATTACATGGTCCTCCAGCACTAAAGAGCTTAATCTTTAATCTCAAATCATGATATCTGCCTTCCATAAGTTTTCAGAAAATGTATAAAAACTGTTAATTGCTACCAGATGAAACAGCTAATATCATTCTGGTGTTCCTTTACTTCCAACAAGGCCAGGCTAGGTTAGGCTATTCACACACATCCTGTCAAAACGGATTAGGCCCTTAGAAGGAAACAGTGCTGGAATAACCTTGGACCAGAGCTGTGTGACCTATTATGTTCTAAAAGGGTGTTTTCTACATATCTTTTGCATATCTTTGGACAATCAATATGAAAATGTCTATGCAGCTGTTTTCAGCAGCCACCTTCATACATATGTAAAAATCTTAGCTATGTTCCCATTCTCTCTGCAGTTTAAGGTACTCATTAAACCTCAGAAGACATAGTACAAGATGGTGACCAGGAAACTTCGAACAGTAGGCAAAGTGAACAACAGCAGGGGTAATCAACGAGAGTGGAGTGGACATATGGGGGGTTCTGTAGGTTTAATTCTTGAAAAAAAATGAGTTCACCAATTAGAACCTAGATATTGCCTTCATTGATATAAAATGATGGCTATCATCTCATTAGAGCTCCTGTCAATTTTGTTGTAAGGGGGAAAGGAAAACATTAGGAATGTATTGAAATCTTGAACACCATATATATACCAGCATTTATACATAACTGCAATATAGATAAAAATGATTCATCTAACAGCATTTAACAATCTTGACTAAGAAAAGTTATCTTTCTAGAGAAATTAAAATGTTTTTTTCACCATACATCTAGACTACTTTTATCTGCACATAATTATCTATCACTGGGAAGGCCAAAGCTAGATCTCCGTCTGTTTACTACAACTCCCATGATGATTTGCAAGCATTGGGCATAGTTCCTAAACAGCAGGCACCTATACTTGGTCACAATTGATCTATAATTTGATTTACCACTTTTACCATCAAGAAGGTCAAGCAGAAGACAGTCAAGCTAATCTGTGAACTATAATATTCTATTCATTTTACATAACTTACTTTACATTGCAAAAACATTAGAACATTTGTACATATACATTCAGAATGTCTGTAGTTACCACTTCTCTAGACAGGGTATTGTATAACATCATGGTTCTCACTGTAAATAATACAATAGTTGGTTGATGATGCAATTACATTTCCTCTAATTTTACAATAGTCATGGATTGAGTAATAAACTTCTCTTCTTTTACTCACTGCAGTTTGGGAGGTTGTGAATAAAGTGAAAATGGAGTAGTATGGATATCAGTATAGCTAAACTTATTGAGCTGGCCTACTCATACAATATGATGAGTGAAACCGCACCTGGACGCTGAACATATTCCTTAAACCTCTGCTAAACCACAGGGGGGTTGGGATTGGGTGGGATTTAATAAAATGTGTAAAAAACTAAACAAAAACAAATAACTTGCAATGCAGGGAAGCAGGGAGGGAGTGAACCAAGGGAAAATACATTCAAGCTTCCCCTTGCAGGTGGGCTCACAGTACTTCCTGCAAAGGTAGAAGCTGACTATGTCCATCACCATCACAAAGTGCGCGCTGACGATAGTCTTAATTTTTTCACAGAATTCACATTTGGCAGCCTAGAACAGCATTCCAGGCTAGAGGTACCGCCGGTACAAAACTATAGATATCTCTTTATATGTAGTGTTTCAAGCAGAAACTGTGCATATTAGAGATTTCTTCCTCCATGATCTCTTGTAAAAGTAGTCATGGAGGCTGGAGTAAACCGTTAAGTTATTTGCATTACACATTATCTATAATAATGCACTAAAAGGGTGGGGAGGGGAACTTCCAGTGCAAAGTATTTCTACCCCTACATCTGTCTGCAATGTACATACCCCTTGCTAAGAGTTCTTAACATCAATGGCGTACTAAGTGAGGGGTGGGAAGGCGGTTCACCCTGGGTGCCATTGATAATGTGGTTGTCAATGGCACAATGCAATTGCAGGATGATTGGCAAAAGGGGAAGCGCTGCCGGTCAGCGAATGTAGCATGCTGAGCAGGCAGACCGCAGTAGAGGAGCTTCTGTTTCCCTAAATGGTCTGACAGAAAGTGCTCATGGAGAGCACAGAACTGCTTCCTGTCAGACCAGGGAGAGTGAACGGAACCTCCTCTCCCGCGATCTGCCTGCTTGGCCACACTACACATAAGGTACAGGAGGGGGAAGAATGGGACACATGTAGCCGAGAGGAGGGGAATTGGACAGATGGAGGAACTTGCTTGGGAATGGGACACAGGGAGGGGGCGAATGGGACATATGGAGGGGTTGGGGAGGGGGAATGGGACACATGGAAAGGCTGGAGGGAATGGAACACATGGAGGGGCTAGGTAGGTGGGCGAATGGGACACATGGAGGGGCTGTGGGAAATGCCTAGGAATAGAATACATGGAGAGACTGGGGGAAATGGAACACATGGAGGGGCTGGGGGGATTAATGAGAGACATGGAGGGTCTGGTGGGGGAAATGAAACTCATGGAGGGGTACAAAGAGACACACACAAAAGAGATGGGGGGACAAATAGATACAGAGAAGGGCTGGTGGGAAAGAGACACATGGAGGGGAAGAGGAAAAAGACACACAAGGAGGGGAAAAATAGACACGCAAAAAGGTAGGTGGAGAAAGACCTGGGGAAGTAATAGGCCTGGCAGCCACACCAGTCTGCCAGCCAGCTACAGCATCCAGTTACAATAGCCTGCCTGCCAACCAGCCACAGTAGCCAGCCTGCCTGCTAGCTGGCCACAGCAGCCAGGGTGCCTGTTAGCCGGCCACAGCAGCCCGCCAGTCTGCTAGCTGGCCAGAGCAGCAATCCTGCCTGCTAGCCGGCCACAGCAGTTTATAAATTTGTTCAAAAAATATTCAAATACAGGATCTGCCCCAGGTGCCAAATGCTCTAGGTACCCCCCTGTTTCACATCCACTGCAATATACAGTTTAGCCTGATGATACATACTGAAGATCAATGTGTATCGTAATATTAATACAAGATAGGATTTTATTATATTTTAAAGCTAACTCTCTTAAATGTTATATACTAAAGTGCAAGTTGCCAAGAATTCAATGTGAATTTAATATTGTATGTCACAAAAGATGAATAGGAAAAAAAATCTGTTAGCTATTGGGTTTATTAACTAAACAGCAAATTGTAGTAAACTGAAAATCAAATTATAAAACATAGATTAAATAAGTAATTTGGATAAATTCTCCAACCTAGCTACAGTCACACCTAGGCTACTGAAGCCTAAATTTTGCAATCAATTTTTCAATTCATTACAGTTTGCTGTTTAGTGAATGAACAATGTTTTCAGTTTGATTATTTTGGCCTTCATATGAACTTTATTGAATATACCAGTCTTTCACCAGTGGAAATATAATCCAAAGATTTGATGGATAGTGTTCATGTCCGTGTACAATACAGTTGTTGCCCCGCATGTTTCTCTGTTGAGTGTGACGCAAGGAAGCGCTAAGCACGTATGTGGTGTTGTTCCATCATTATTGTGTGCTACCCTCAGTACACAGACTGCAACATGTGGTGGGCCCAGAAGGGATGCTGTAAACCAATAAAACAGGCTTTGCTTTGACGGAGATAAGAAGAACTACAAGTTATGGGAGACAAAGTTATTGGGACATCTCCAGTTGATGAATCTCAAAGAAATTATGAGGATGAAGATAAAAATGAGGAGGCATAGGCTGAGTTAAATCAATTCTTAGATAATAACAGTCTGTCTTTAGGGAGGTAACTGATGATGGAAGAACGTCGCTTCAAATGCTGAGTGATTATTATGCAAACAAGGAAAAGCCCAAATAGTTAGGTTGTTTACCTAGCTTCAGAAAGGTGCAAATAAAGTGTGACATATAAAATGTGCCTGAATTGTTTAAACCGTTTGCCATCCATATTACGCAGGGTGATGGCAAAGTTTCCCTTGTAGAGTTCAAAACACAGTTGAGAAGTTACTGAGAAATACTGTGCTAGCTCAAATGACGGCAGAGCATTGAAAGTGAGTAATATGACTCCTAGAGTTAAAATGAAGGACGACTCTAATAAAGTGTGCTCAAGCATTCAAAATGGCAGCCAATCACTGTGGTGTTATTACTGTAGTAGCCAGACACGCAGAGATGCAAATTGTAGATTGCAAGAAAAGAGACAAACAGCAGACATGTATATGTCTTTAAAATCAGAGATGGCCTTTTTTTAATACTGAAAGGGCTAATGGTCAACACAAGGGCAAAAAAACCCTTAACGTTGAATAGTGTACAAGAACACTTTTAAATGAGAGAAACACTTAATGGACCTTGCAGATGGAAATAAAAGACACTGAAGAGGGTTTATGCAGGGATTTATCTACTTGACAGTAAAGAAAATTGAATGTTAGCAACCCTAAAGAAAGCATTACCTTCACATACTCAAGACATTTTCTCTGTAGAGGTAACAATGGCATATCAGTTAACTTTAAACAAGGCAGAAGTGAGCTTGTTTGTTACGATGGCACCAAATTCATAATCCAAAAATACAACAGACTTTACGATCTTAAAAATTGTTCTGAAAATTAAGACAGATGTTATTGATGTTATAATATATTTAAACCTGGCACTAAATTATAGGTCATTGTAATTACAATGAAATTTCAAAGTTATAGAAAGTGGTGAAAGAAATGAAAATGAAGGGTAACATTGATTGGTCTGACCTAAACTGTGAAATTTGCACTCATGAAAATTTGTTCAGAGTAAAAGGGAAAAGATGGATGCTTGTGCCACCACGACCCTAGAACTAGTGCACACAGACTTAGAAGGTCCCATAGAACCACAAGCCAAAGAAGGAGGGAGGTGTCACGTATTCATCCGCTTATAGAAAAGTGGTTAATGACATTTACTGTCCACACAGGAAAAGTTGTGCCGAGCAGCAACCTAATCCACAGAAGGGTTAATGCTGAGCAGCAATTATGCAAATGAAACCTGGTAACTGACTTTGGGGTCAAAGGCCGGTTACAGTCTATCAGTATTTAGGCCCAGTTCTCAGCCTGCTCAGTGCCCTGTCGTGGTTTCCCTTGTGGTTGTCCGAGAGCGCGTTCCTGTTTATTGTTTTCTACCTGGTTTTTGACTTTGGCTTTGTTTATTGACTTCTCTATATTCTGGTATCCTGACTTCTGGCTTTCCTCATCGCTGTGTCCCTTTCTGTGTTCCCTGACCTCGGCTAGTATTTTTGACTATTCTTTGTACGTTAAATCCGGCCATTCTAAGGACCGGTAATACGTTACTTATTTGTCATCCGTGCTGTACAGTTCTACGTGCTGGATCAAACAGTAATCCTGACATTACGACATGGCCATAGATCCTGTAGAACTGTGTCAGCACATAGCTGCTTGCGAGAGGAAATTAGAGGAGAATGATCACCGCATGGATCAATTCACTCAGGCTTTAAGTACGCTTCTCGCTAGAACGGAGCATCTGCAGCCTGCAGCGTCTCCTCCTATAGCACCTCTAGCCTGTGTACCTCCACCCACTGTTAATAGGACTCCTAGCATCTCCTTATCACCATCCCTACAGTTTGATGGCAATATCCAGGAATGCAGGGGTTTTCTTAATCAGGTGGAGTACCATTTTGAGGCCTCACCAGGGTCATTCCCCACGGACAGAGCAAGAATTGGTTATCTAATTAATCAATTAAAGGGCAAGGCCCTTGCCTGGGCTAATCCATTGTGGGAGAGTAATCGGAGCATAGCTCATAATTACCAGGAATTCCTTGCCGAATTCAAGCTCACATTTGAGCCATTGGGTAGAGAGGATGACGTCTCCACTGCCCTAATGCACATCAGACAAGGTAACCGGTCTATCTCGGATTATGCTATTGAATTCCGTACCTTAGCTTCCGAGGTAGACTGGACTAACAATGGGTTAATCTCAGCATTCAAAAAGGGTCTCTCAGAGACTATACTAGATGAGATAGCCGCTAAAGAATTACCTAAGAGTCTTAACGAATTTATTACGTTTGTCATGCATATTGATAATAGGTTAAGACTCAGAGAAGTCACCAGAAGCAAGACCAGACGTACGGCTATGTCCCTAGCACCTCAATTCTCTAAACCTGTTTTGTCTAACCTCCCTGTACAGTCCGAACCCGAACCTATGCAGTTGGGGGTCACTAGACTGTCAGAGGCCGAAAAACAGTAAAGGAGAAGGGAGGGGTTATGCCTATATTGCGGTAGAAAGGGACATATGATAACTAATTGTCCAGTGCGTCTGGAAAACTTCCGAACCTAAGAACCTTAAGGGGACAGATCTTAGGTGTGATGGAGTTGTCCTCTAACAAAAACAAAAGTAGATTCCTCCTTGATGGACTCAGGTGCTGCTGGAAATTTTATTGATGTCCAGTTTATTAGGGGTAATGAGATACCGGTCAGGGAGAGACCTACGCCGCTAGCTGTAGAGGCTATTGATGGTAGACCACTCACACAACCGCTTATAACCCACGAAACTGTCCCTATTACGATCTCCATTGGGGCCTCCCATAGGGAGGAGATGACGTTTCAGGTTATTACTTCTCCATCATGTCCTATCATATTAGGGTTTCCATGGCTGAGTAAGCACAATCCCTATATTGACTGGGCTAATGGGGAGATATTAGAATGGGGTAAAGAGTGTATGGGGAGATGTATAAAACCAGTACTAAAGAGATTGGATATTATTGACCTTCCCACTACCACTCCCCAAACTCCTGGAGTTCCCATACAATACCGAGAACTTCAGGAGGTGTTTAACAAGGCTCAATCCGATGTATTGCCTCCCCACAGAGCATATGACTGTGCCATTAACCTGTTTCCAGGCGCTATGCCACCTAAGGGGGCAGTTTATGCCTTATCTCCCCAGGAGAGTAAAATAATGGAGGAATACATCAAAGAATCCTTGAGCAAAGGGCACATAAGAAAGTCATCCTCACCAGCTGGTGCAGGATTCTTTTTTGTTGAGAAAAAGGGTGGTGAGTTACGCCCTTGCATAGACTACAGGGCACTTAATAAAATCACTGTAAAAAATGCATACCCTATCCCACTCATTTCCGAATTGTTCGATAGACTTCAGGGAGCTAAAGTATTTACTAAACTTGACCTTAGGAGCACTTACAATTTGGTTAGAATTAAAGAGAATCATGAGTGGAAGATGGCATTTAATACCCGTAGTGGACACTATGAATATCTGGTAATGCCATTTGGGTTATGCAACGCCCCGGCCGTATTCCAAGACTTTATAAATGATGTACTCAGGGAATTCATTTACTCATTTGTCTTGGTTTATTTGGACGATATTTTGGTGTATTCCCCTGATCTTCAAACTCACCACTCCCATGTGAAACAGGTTCTGCAGACGTTGTTGAAAAATAAACTTTATTGTAAATTAGAAAAGTGCATATTTGACCAGCCTGAAGTCCACTTTTTGGGTTACAACATCTCTGCATCGGGATTTCAAATGGATCCTAAAAACTAGAGGCTGTACTACACTGGCCATTACCCTCTGGTTTAAAAGCCATTCAAAGGTTTATTGGTTTTGCCAACTATTACAGAAGATTCATCAAGGGATTTTCTTCTGTAATAGCCCCAATCACAAATATGATTTGCAAAGGGGTTAGTATCATGGTATGGTCCAAAGAGGCTGTGAATGCTTTTGAGACTCTTAAACAAAGATTTGCCTCTGCGAACATACTAAAACATCCCGACACTAGTAAACCTTTTATATTGGAGGTTGATGCATCCGAGACAGGGGTAGGGGCTGTTCTCTCTCAGAGAGAAAGCCAGGGAACACCATTGCATCCTTGTGGCTACTTCTCCAGAAAGATGTCTCCTGATGAGCGCAACTACGATATTGGCAATAGAGAACTGTTGGCCATTATTCTTGCACTCAAGGAGTGGCGACATCTTTTGGAGGGTTCCAAGGACCCCCTGTTGATCATAACCGACCACAAAAATCTGGCATATATAGGGGATGCCAAACGTTTGTCTTCCAGACAGGCTAGATGGTCACTGTTCCTTTCACGTTTTAACTTTCTCATTACTTATAGACCTGGTTCTAAAAATACCAAGGCTGATGCCTTGTCCAGGCAATTTGATAATGAGTCAGCTCCGGAACAGGTGACATCTCCTATTATTCCACCAGAGTGTATTATTGCTACTACTGTCCTCTTACTGTCTTCTCCACTGCTTGGCACCATACTGGAGGCCCGGCCTCAGGCGCCCAGTGGTAAACCGTGTGATAAACTGTTCGTTCCCCTATGTGAAAGGGTTAATATCTTGAAAGTGTTCCATGACAATATAACTGCTGGACACCCGGGCATCAATAAGTCCACTGCCGCGATCACTAGATCATTTTGGTGGGATTCACTCAGGAAAGATGTAAAGGAGTATGTGCAGGCATGTTCTGTGTGTGCAGTTTCTAAGGTGACTCATGCACTTCCTTGTGGCCTGTTGCAGCCTCTTCCTGTTCCTGAGATTCCATGGTCCCACTTATCCATGGACTTTATTGTTGAGCTTCCTAGCTCTGCTGGGTTCACTACTATTCTCATGGTTGTAGACCGATTTTCTAAGATGGCTCACTTCATTCCTCTCAAGAAGTTGCCATCTTCGCAAGATTTGGTCCTAATTTTCATACGTGAAATTGTCCGTTTGCATGGCATCCCCCACAATATTGTGTCTGATAGGGGCTCTCAGTTTGTGTCCAGGTTCTGGAGGGCGTTCAGTAAACAATTGGGGATTGATCTCTCCTTCTCCTCCTCCTACCATCCACAGACCAATGGTACAGCTGAGAGGGCTAACCAGTCATTAGAAGTTTATTTGCGTTGTTTTATTAATAGCACACAAGACAATTGGTCCGAACTACTCCCGTGGGCCGAGTTCGCTAGAAACAATGCTGTTCATGACTCCTCTGGGCACAGTCCATTTTTTGTCAATAATGGTAGGCATCCTACGGTTCTCCCTGCGGTATTTTCTGATACTGCCATTCCTGCTCTGGATGAGCGTCTGGCCTCCATTCGGGATACCTGGGTTAAGGTTCAAACTGCTCTAGGGGCTGCTGCTGAACGCTTCAAACATTTTGCTGATAAGCGTAGGAGTGCCAACCCGGTGTACCAAGTGGGGGACCGGGTTTGGTTGTCATCTCGCAACATCAAGCTTAAGGTCCCTAGCATGAAGTTTGCCCCCAGATTCCTTGGTCCCTATAGAGTGCTTCGTAGGATCAATCCAGTGTCTTACTCTCTGGCTCTTCCTGCATCTTTAGGGATTCCCAACACTTTTCATGTGTCCTTACTCAAACCTCTTGTCTGCAATAGATATACTGTTCCTTGTGTTCCTCCCCCTCCGGTGGTGGTGGGTGGTCAGGAAGAGTATGAGGTATCTTCTATCGTGGATTCTAGGTTTTCTCGGGGCACTTTACAGTACTTGGTTGTTTGGAAAGGTTACGGTCCTGCTGATCGTTCTTGGGTTTCGGCTCCTGACCTGCATGCGGGCCGTAAGATCCGCGCTTTTCACGCTAAATTTCCTCTCAAGCCTGGTCCTGTCCGCCCGGTGGGCGTTCTTCAGGTGGGGGGTAATGTCACGTATTCATCCGCTTATAGAAATGTGGTTAATGACATTTACTGTCCACACAGGAAAAGTTGTGCCGAGCAGCAACCTAATCCACAGAAGGGTTAATGCTGAGCAGCAATTATGCAAATGAAACCTGGTAACTGACTTTGGGGTCAAAGGCCGGTTACAGCCTATCAGAACTAAAGGAGGGGTATTTAGGCCCAGTTCTCAGCCTGCTCAGTGCCCTGTCGTGGTTTCCCTTGTGGTTGTCCGAGAGCGCGTTCCTGTTTATAGTTTTCTACCTGGTTTTTGACTTTGGCTTTATTTATTGACTTCTCTATATTCTGGTATCCTGACTCCTGGCTTTCCTCATCGCTGTGTCCCTTTCTGTGTTCCCTGACCTCGGCTAGTATTTTTGACTATTCTTTGTACGTTAAATCCGGCCATTCTAAGGACCGGTAATACGTTACTTATTTGTCATCCGTGCTGTACAGTTCTACGTGCTGGATCAAACAGTAATCCTGACAGGAGGTTGGTCATGTAATTTTTGGTGTATCTCAGTCAGTAGACAATGTCCCAATACAGGAGTAGTGACTTCCAAAGAGGATATGGTGTGAATACCACTGTTAGACTTTGCTTTCACTGGAGGGACATTTGTTTAACTTGTAGATGGAATGCATCATATAGATTTCCAGCACCTCAGAAACCTGTGATTTATAAACCACACTTTTCAGATATGGAGAAGCCTTAAAGATACTTGGGGGATGGCCACTGGTACTATCTGTATTCCTCCCTAGTATTATTCCCTAGTATTCCTCCCTGCAGCACTTAACTTGGAATTTCAGAATGGTCATGGTAATAACTTACTATGAAGGATAATAGGAGATGCAGATCCACTTATAATAAGACTACTGACGGATGAAACACCCCCTAAGATAAGGGACTTTACCCAATGGAAAAGCAAGACGACACTCATAGATATAATAGGAATTTCCCACTTAAATTTTTTTTATTTTTTTTAATCAGTGATACCATATTGGCATTCAATAAATAAAACACAATTTGAGCTTCTGTGTGGTCCAGGGATATTGAATAAATCTCATCTATCCAGTATTATAGCATAATACAGAGAGGGGCTACAGAAGGGCTAGTACCTTCTTTTCAACGGAAGTGGGTGCAAGGTCTTAATATTCAAATGACTAATGAGGATTGGTCATATGTGCTTAACATGGGGATAAATTCACAAGTCAGCATCTCTAGGAAAATTATCTTTTTTAAAAGAGTTACTAGATGGTATAGGACTCCAGCTCGATTACATAAATACTGTCCATTGGTTAGTGATCGATGCTGGAGGTGTGAAGCTAAACGGGGCGATATGGAACATATTTGGTGGGAATGCAACCACGTTAGAACATATTGGCAACATGTCCTAGGGGAAATATATAAGATTTTACCAACACCTAAACAATTAACCTCTTCAAAGATATTGTTGGGTTGGCCAACCTCCTTCAAAGAGAAACCATAAACAGCTACTGTTGAACCACTTATTGAATGAAGCAAATGCTATGATCCCAGTCTTTTGGTGTAAATTCATAGTTCCAACCAAAGAACAATGGATACGGAAAAAGTTGAAAAAATGAGGGAAATGGAGGAATGGCGCATCTTCCATGAATTTCTGGACACCCGGTATGCTTAAAAAATATATAATGCTTCTCATTAACAATATGGTTATTCACTAAAGTGAGAATTGTTAATAATAATTCTTACAGGTTTATTCATTGAAGTGATAATTCAAAGTCAATTTTAAGAGTAGAAGCTCTGAAAGCATAGATTAACATTTTGGGTTCATCTATTTTGACCTTAAAGTACAATCACCTCAAAACAATCTGTCAAAAATAATCCATAAATCACGTTTTGAAAGGGAATATATTTCTTTAAATAATATATAGATGAGAAAAACTAACTCATCCCTAGTTTCAGTATATAACACGATCTTACAGCCATATACATGCACCTTGGGTCAGTAGTGGGTCTATGGTCTTTCAGATTCTGTGCAGGGAGTGAAGCAGGGAAGACCATGGAGATGAACTATGGGTTTTAAAACACTGTTACTAAACGTAGGAATGAGTTTCACTTTGAATCATTTTAAATTATCTCTTTAGTAAATAAAAAAAGAATGAAAATCCTGAAAGTGAATTTCATATTTAAGGTACATATGAGATGACATTTAATAAGTATATTACCTGTTTTGAAAAATTCCAAGTTGGATGAAACGCGTACTTTATTTTATTTGTTGACTGAAGATCTCCCAGCATGAAATGTAGCAAACGCTCTTATATTGTGTCTAACACTGGAGGGAAGCGATTACAACGGTGATTACTACTGGTACCTTACCGGAGGTTTGACTATTTGAGGCTCTTGGCAAAATCATATTACAGTATATACCTTCATTTTGGAGCATATTTATTCAACCTGAGGATCATTAAGATCTGGCTGCAACATAATTTATTCATCTTGACTCCCTAACTATCAAGGCAAGTGGTAATAATGTTATGTAAGGTTTACACTATGCCACAAGTGGATTTATTTCCTTATATCAGGAGGACATTTGAGGATTCTTATCCAGCTAATCGGTCCCATTGTATTGTTTGTCAGACTCTGTATTTACGACCTGGTAGCTTGCTTTTCTTAACTCTGGTAGCATTGTACACGTATTAGAGTTAATAACTTTGTGTCTAGTTAGTATCAGGATCACTGCAGTTAGGGAGCAGCTTAATAGTCTACTTCATATACACATGATGGTATTATGTAACTTTAGGTGTTTATTTATTTACAAAAAACATTCAGATAATATTTTGACATTAGTGCGACCTAGTCTTTTCTTTTGTTGAGTTAAGGATCAGTATATTTCTCTTTTCTTGGATATACACATGATTTTATTGGTATTTTGTAACACTTGTTGGTGCTATATAAATAGTTATAATAATACTAATAACAGTAATCTAGGCCAACTGTGCATATAACTTATGTTTTCATAGACTTATGAGAGAGAGAGAGAGAGAGAGAGAGAGTGTGTGTGTGTGTGCGCGCGCGCCATACATTACATTTCAGTTTGGTTTAACAATATCCACACAGTAGTAGAGAAGAACAGAGAGGCATGTTCTTACATAGCATTGTCTAAGTAAAATCCTGTCCTGACTATAGGGGAGCGATTACCAACCTTAGCACAATGATCATCGTGAACCATGTTTACAATAATGCTAATCTACAGTATATAAGTAATATTCTCACAATACAATGTCTCAACTCACACACTAGTAAAAGCTCCATATGAGTAGGGCATAGAAACTAGAGATTATTAAGTTGCTAAATTTAGTTTCTCTAGTCTGATTTTGACAATTCACTGCTTGTTGTCCAAACATTGTGATTTGGAAAGACATGCTTTGATGGCAGTATTTACAGTGCAAAGATATAGTTAACAGAACAGGAAAGAACCTCATCAAACAATGTATTGTTGCCATATACAATCTGGAATGCCATTGCTTTTACATGATAATTAAACTTCATCCATGATGTAATAGTTGGCTTTCGAATCACATTTTTTCCACTATCAACCCACATGCTATGAGTTCATTGGCTGCAAATGATTTAAAACAAAATGAAGGGATATACGTGAATGTAAAGGACACATTTCATTATATCTATAGTCGTATAATAATTCTACATTGCATATATTTAATCTATTTAATTATCATGTAACAATCTTATCCAGAGCACCTTTCAGAATTCAGCAACTGATCATAGGCAAATCTATAGACATACATATATAAAATTAGACATACTCTTACAAAAGGATAAGGAAGCTATTTTCATGCACGCTTGATCTAAAATGTGTGTTTTAAAAAATATATATAATATTATATCTTTAAATAATTATAAATATTTATTCTAAAAGCAAGAACCTAAATTCATATGGCATTATTTATGTAGATTAAAAACAAACTTTAGAAAAAAATATCCATATTTGATCTAAAATTACCATTCATATATATTCACTAAAGGCAATATGTATGCAGAGTCAGAGATAATTCTCAAACTCAAATATCAGAGCATAGAAAAAAATGAGGTCTGCGCTCATGGGTGTCCGCAGAACTTTTCCAGGGGTAATGACATCCATGCTTGGCCAGTTTTTGACAGCGTCATGAAGGGAAGAGGCATAGTCATTATCACATAAAGCCAGGGTGAATAGCGTTTTCACAACTATAGTCTCAGGAATACATGTCTGTATTCCTGACATTATAGTGTTTCTTTAATCAAATTAAAGGAACATTCTGGTCATCATAACATCATAAATAAAAATGCTATGATGCCAGGAAGCCCCTGGGTGCTCTCTTGTCTTTGGTTGTTTTTTTCTCTGTGTTAATGTGCTGCTGTGGAGTTCTAGTAATGAAAGACTTAAGCAAATATAAAGCCTCCTGCCATGTTATAAAATTAGTTTTGAAAGCAAGTTATAGAACTTTGTGTCCATAGAGATCCATGAACAAAACTACATGCAAATGCAAGGCTTAAAAGTTATTTCCATTTTAGGTTTGATTTTCTTAGCATTTGTCATCAGTAAAGCACTAATAACTAAAAAGCCCACAGGTACCAACATGATAAAAACTGTCAGATTCTGTGCAAGACATTTGGTGGCAGAGAGGATACACTTGCTGTTGCCCTGTATTGCAGGAGGCAGTCATCAGTAGTAATGGAAAACTTAAAATGTTGAGAATTGACATTTATATATTCATACACAATATGTGCAGAAAAATATTCTTTCCCTTTCAGATCGAAATGGAACTTACTTTTCCTTTTCTGTTGTATGATAAAATAATTCTCCAAAAAGGTCTGACATTGTGTGCCAGGATTGCAGTGTATTGGGTTTCATCACTCCTACAGTTTATTTAAAAATAAAAACATACTTTCTCAAAATCTTGAAATATGAGACACTTTGATTTTCTGGATAGAATCATTTATTTTTGGTAAAAGTGGCATTGAAAGTCAGCAAAGTCCAAGGATTGCTTCCCATTTTGCTGTCCTTTTGCTTCAGTACATGATACGAGTCCTTGCAAGTCTCAGATTGTATTCCTTCAAATAAAATATGATTTTTATGTAAGTTCATTAGGTATTTTGAGAAAAAGCATACTACTCCTGTCAAATGTCTGCTATATAAAACACTTCAGTAAGTTAAGAAATTTTGCTTTTTAACGTCCACTGAAAATGTAATAGGCCAAACCATTGTAAATGTGTTTCTTGTCACTTAACCCTTTATAAATCTCACGTGAACATGATTTGACAGGCTGAAAAAAATTATTTTAAATTTAGTTTAGAATTCAAATCTGCTTTTTCTCATCGTCTCATCTTATTCATTAGTTTAGATCACAACAGGTTTTAATCAGGAATAGTGGAGAACTAACAAAAGGATTTCAAATAGTAAGTTATTTGAAAGAATATTTTCAATTTGGCTAATTTGATCTAAAACATGTAATTCTTTTGGAATGTCTTGCCAATTTCCTGTTTAGTGAGCAACTCCATAAGTAAGAACTAGTGATGTCCCGAACGTTTTGAAGCTGCATTCTTAGTGAGCTGTCCAGGACGTGGGAGGGTCTGGGAGGGAGGGTCTGCTGCTGATTGGCTGGAATGTGTCTGCTGACTGTGAGGTACAGGGTCAAAGTTTACTCAATGATGAGTCCGCGGCGAACCGTTCGGAACATCACTAGTGAGAACAATTAGCAGGCATCATTGTATTCAAAAGTCACAATTTTTGGAGACCTATATTGTAATGGTAGCGTGGTCTATCATTATTTATTCTTTAAGATAAAATAATCACCAACTGCACCCTTTTCTTTTATTACAGGAACTTTTGGGCCCTACGTGGAACGATTTTACCACGGTCATATTTACCCATGGAGACAAGCTAAGCGAGACCTGTATGAAAGAGGATGAATACCTTATGTCTGCTCCTAAAAAGCTATTGACTCTACTGGAAAAAGTACATAAAAAATACATTTTTAGAGATCCTTCAGATAAATCCCTACAGAAGGAAAGAGCAATCCTAACAAGTCAAATGTTTGATTACGTGAAGAACAACAAGTACCAAAGTTTACACTTTGATTGATACATTCCCAGCAAGGTTTGCGCAAAAGTGTTTGTCAGTGTTCTGGGTCTGCAAAGGGATATAAAACACATTTGTATATCATACTGGCATGGACTACCAACTAGAGGATTTACAGCATACCTTAAATTGGCATATGGTGCTTCTAAGAGATTTATGACTCAAAGAATCACAAAATGTGTGATGGAAGTCAACATTCACTATGACTTTTTGTTCAATTTGGTAGATGTACTCTTTATGTTTGTATTATTGTTGTATTAACCTGTAAAAATACCCTTTATTATTACACAGGAACTGACTTAAGGAAACAAATTCTTTATCTTTTCAAGTACCTGGATGTTCTTTATTTTACGAGGAGGTGCACACTGGCAAAAATAGCAAAAACTAAGAGCTAGGACATTTTCATATATTTTCTTGTCCAAGTTAGAAATCTTTTTAAAGGGAAATTCCAAGCACGATAACCATTTATGTGCTCTGCTTCTTAAAAGCTTCCTTTATTGTATTCATTGTTGTTGCAGGGATGTGAAGTTACTTATATAAAAATAAAATAAAGCACTGCAACCAAGTATCACTTCACTTACTGATATAAAGTGATGGAACAGTTTTGTTTACAGCTATTGGTAGTTTAGTTAATTGGCGGGGGGCAGGGGGGTGGAACTTGGCTATAACTTCCAAATTGTATACATTTATTTATAAATAAAAAAATAGCACTAGTTAGAATGCATTGGTTTCAGAGATAAATACATTGTTCGAGAATGGGCTTAAGGTCACATTTAGGGCGACTGCATGAGCTACTGATACTACTTATCTAAGTGCAAAAGTATTTTAGAACATGACCAATGTATCATATATACACATTACTGTAGTTCACAGGCAACTTGCTGTGAGATGTGAGGTTGAGTTTATAAATTTGTCCAGAACTCCAAGTAGACACTTTAAAAATAATAAAACTTTTCTTTTAATACATGCTTCACTCGTGGTTTTTTATTTTTGAAACTACATAATTTTGCATTCGGTCTGTTTTCAGGGTCAGGTTAGGGTATGAAAGGGAGGTTTTTAATTGCAGGCTATCACAGGAACACACGTTCCGGTGCTGCCCAAGTTTACTGAGAGTTCTAGCCATGAGCGCCAACTATTTTAGCTACCGCTATTAACTTGGCTTGAGAGAGAACTGCACACAACTTGCAACAGCGGACACTTGGGAGTGTAACTTTTACTAATTGTAGGCAGGTAACTGAACATTTCAAAAATATTAATGCATTTGCTAGTTGCCAAAGAAGATGCAGAGATGGAAGACTTAAACTAGACACAATATTACCTGGGCCACGAGACAAAAACAAAAAAAATAAGACGTGCGTTTTCAACAGTAAATGGGTCCATGAGTTTTTATAGCTTTCAAACTATATTCTCGGAGCAAAACCAGTAGGAGTTTATTCAGCAACTGGCAAAACGGACTAATCAGAGAACAACATTTCAATATTTAGAACAATACATTTTAAATGAGGGAACAAAAATAGATTTTCCTCCTTAGCCAAATCTGGCAATGAAGGTAAAAGGATTATCAAAATGCTACCATTGTGTTAATCTTATTTACCATTTATAAACCGCTCTATTTATACAAAATTCAGAGTTCTATTTCATGTCTTTTATGCTGTTTAGAGAAGATGCTAACTCATAGATTAATGCTGCCATGGGTTGATAAGGAAATTAACTCATTGTGATGTAATTTGTAAATGTTAACACTAACTGAGATAGCTTTTAAATAAAAACATACACATAATATTGTTTTCAACAGGATATTTAGCTGCATGGTGCTACCACCATGGTCATCCTACATCTCCATTCAATCTCTGTTTTCTTAACTTCTCATTTCTCTTACCTCTTTTTCTGTTATGTCTCGCTAAGCTCTTACTGACAGTCTCTCTTTCATCTCTGTCATTTATCCTAGTTGGCATTTTCCACAGTCTCTACATAATTATGCGTGCATTGAAGGCTCTGTGTGCAGAGGCTCCAATGTAGTGTTGTTTGTGCAGGCTGCATGCAATGTTGTGTGGGGGGCTGTGTGATTTCAGCAATCCTGCATATTTTGTTGCTCCATCTCCCTCTCCCTTTTATCTTTCAGGAAGGGAGTGCTCCATGATGATCCCAGGTAGTCCAGTGGATGAAGCTTGCGGTCTGCACTTACAGTGGGTGCAGATGACTTTAAACGCTCTTTCAGGCACTCCTCAGTTACTCACCCACTAAATGCTAGGAGCCAGATTGATCTGTGACATGCACCCCTCCATCATCTCCCTACTAGTCCATGAGTCATGCCCCATAACCAGCATTTCAAGTGAATGCCTAACTTACCAAAGGTAGTGCCTGCCTTGGTTATCACACACACACACAAAAAGCAAATCACACAATGATGAACAAAATGGTTTGTCTTTATTATAGCTAATTCTCAGATTTGATACAGAAAAAGCATCTGAAAGCTATCTTCAAGTGATTCTTCTCTAAAAGGACATTGTTTATTTAATATTGCTTTTGGCCATGGTTTGGGCTTTGCATACTCCTTTCCCACTGACTTCAAATGCTGCTCCTTTGTAAGTTGCCACACACTGTTCGTCAGTAAGGAGGTCTGGTTGAATTTGCTCCCATGTTTTCTTCTTAGGGTTTAGTTCTTTATCAGGCTCCCCTTTAGATATGAAATAAATAAATGCAAGTCATAATTTGTTGAGCATACATGCTAAAAACTCAAAAAAAATTTTAGATCTACTTTTTGTTTTCTTGTGTTACAATGTACAAAATGAAACAATAAAAAGGTATCAAATGGTGGATATAAGGTCTGTCAAAAAAAAAAAAAAGACCCCTCAATTTAAAGACCGGGCCAGCTGTAGCATTCAGACATCAATCTCATGTAATTTGTAATGGACAAAGACTTACCTTATTAAAGAATGAATTAGCAGCCAACTATCGTCCATCCAAATAAAATGGCAACATGAAACATGCCGGTTCAGCATCCAATGGATAAAAATGTCACCAACCATTTGCTAGCAATGACACTACCAGGCAAATGTACTCTTCAGTGATTTAAAGTGATCATGAATTTGAAACAAATTGAACCTCTATTTCTCAGTGTTAGGGTTTTAACTTAAATGTTTTCCATGTTGTATTTTGTACACTACCAGAATTCCAGGTTCAATTTAGATTTTATTTGGATTGATGCACTGTTGTACTTATCTGTATTTTTACATTTTAAAATGCATTAAATCCTACTAGTGTACTAAAGACTTTAGTATACACTTTATCTAACAGTGATGCATACACCTGTGGTTTGAGTTGTTTTCCAATGTTCCCACTGCTTTAGAAAAATGTAACTTAAAAATCACTCAAACAAGAATTATCAGTTTGTAAGGCCTTTGTACTACACCTCATGGAAGCTTGATATTTAGTTACCTGAGTTAAAAGCTGCACCAGGTAATGTTTTATGATAAGCAATAAATAAAATAATTGGGAAGTGTAATAATATATAAAAAAAGCAGCCTGCCTTCATCATTTGCTCATTGATACAGATATATCCTGGAAACGCAAGGTCTGTGCCAATTATTTTACATACAAATAAAAGAGAGAAAAACGCAGCTGTAGAGAGCATATGGGAAGGCATTTTAATGGTGTTTGCCAGAAATATTTTAGCAGTTTTCCAAACAAATTGTACCAATTCCTGCTGGAAACAGACCAGGATGGGAAGGCAGAAATGTAAAGCCAAACTGTGTTTTTTCTCTGGGAAGGGTCAACAATTTCTGCTTATTTTCAAATAAACAATATGAATTGTAAAACAGAATTCAAAGAAACCTGTAATTTTCATTGGAAAGCAAGAAGCCGTTGAGATGCGGACATACGGTACTAAGCAGACAGATGAGAAGTGTAACCTATTCTAGAGACCTGTGTGTTTCATCAGCCGGCTATAGAGGAAGCAGATGCCATAAACTATTTGACCAAAATGAAAGGCTTCCTGTGCCTTGCTTACAGCACTTTACAAACCCTGTTTTACATTTAAAGGAACTAGAGAAGCTAATAAAGCAACACCTGCAAGGCCCATATGGCCTGCCATAAAAACCTGGGAAGTGGCAGTGTATAGGACAGATGTGTTTATATGGGCTCAATAGAAGATTTGGTAGCAATATATGAAACACATTTCAAATGTTATCAACAAAGAATAAATGCAAGTCAGTACAAACAATGTCAAAAAACAAATGTATAGCAGTTGTAATGTTCTGTATTATGCTATAGCAAATTATGTTACAATTAAAAATGATTCTAAAGGGGGTCACTATTCTAGGTGAGGACAGTATGTATTATTTACAGTGATGCAACATACATAAAATGATTTCTCTTTCTGGATTACCTGGGAAACTCTGGAAGGTGATCCTCTCTCCAGGAACAGCTCCACTAGGAGGATCCAAAATTTCCACTTTGTCTGGAGAACTGGCACACATGACCATGGCCTGTGATAGGACTCCTCTCATTTTGGCAGGTTTCAAATTACAGAGCAGCACTGCCATCCGATTTTGCATCTATATAAAAAGATAGAACGAAAAAAAAAAATCATTAAATATTTTAAAAGTATGCACACAGGTGAGGACAAAGGAATACACAAGATTGGAGATATAAAATCCATAGAATAGCATTGCTGCATTTATCAAGTGTGTGGTTTTGACAATCATTAGTTATGTGCTATGATGACCAGAGAAATGACACAAGAATTGCAAAATGTTACCTTAATATATTGCACTGGGAAAATAAACAAACAAACAATGCAGTTAAAGCGGCACTGTCATGCCGAATTCTGTTTTTTTTTTAACCCCCCTCCCGCCTCCACTACATCCAATTGACCCACTAGTCACCCCCAAATGCCCCTAAGCCCCCCACATTACCTATTTTTAAATCTTTATTTTCTGCCCCGATCTATATTCAGGGCGCCGCCATCTTTGTGTGGGTAGGTGAAGTCCCTGTGGGACACG